TTTCGCTGCAGAAGCTATTTATGTTTAGATCCTACAATCCCAAATTTCTTTGCAAATTCATAAAACTAAGACAAACATTAGGATCATTTTTGATATGTTCGCTAAATGCCTAAATCAAATTTCTTTGTAAATAGTTATATAGCTCATCAAGATTAATTTATGCAATTAATAATGTTTTCGCATCAACATTTTTCCTAGGATTTAGACTTCAAGTTGTCAATTAAAACCTAACATTAAGAACAATTTTTTTTAACACTGATTAATTATGTATTACAAACTATGAGAACATTAAAGAACAATCAAGATGAAGAATAAAAGATAAATCTTAACAATTCATTTTAGAAATTCATCAATCATTTCGGAGATTAACTCCATATACCCTATGCCCTCATAAAATCATTCTCACTACCTCTTCTCTTTTCTTATTATCCTTGTACTCCCCAAATTAGCCTTTTGTTTATTTCTTCAATTAAATAAACCAATAATAATTCAATAACCTATATGACCCACAAACAACCTTAACCAATTAGATTTCACCTCACCCATATCTCTCTTTTCTTCTTCCTTGTTGATCTTCATTTCCCCTTTTCATCCTTCATTGACGATTTTAAAACTCTAAAAACACGTATTTTATGTTCGTTTTTGATGAATTTTTTATGAAATAATATTTAAATTGTCGTGTATATCATGGGTAATAGAAAAAAATGCAAGATTGATGAAAATTTGAAAGATTAAAAATGATTTTAAAAATTGTGTATGGATTTCAGATGTATATTACGTTCATTTTTGTGAAATTTTCGTTGAAATATTATTAAAAACAAGTGTTTATCTCAGCTAGTTTAAAAAAAAGATCTGATGAAAAGTTTGAGGGATTAAAAATGATTTTCGTTGAAATATTATGGATTTTATATATATATATATATATATATATATATATTATGTCTGTTTTGATGACTTTATGTGTGTAATTCCATCAATATGAATTATATATCATGGGTAATGTAAAATTCTAATAATATCGACCTAAAAAGCTGATTAGTTAGTGTAAGGCGAATTTATGGGTACTACTTAGAGAACTAATTTTACTAAGGCAACATGGTTTTGTGGTATTACTAATATTACTCTGTTTACAAGTTCGACTAGAATTACTAGCATTACTATGTATAGTACTGAAATAAATTAGTATTAGTAAGCGAAGATTGTACGGTGTGGGAACTAATTAATTTTAAACTTCTCAGTAATGATAACTCTACTCATAATTCAATTTTATTTCAGGAATAATGCAAAATCTGCATTGCACAGTTATTTGTTTTGATTATGGGGGATATTATATGAATGATGGGGCTGGAATAAAATAGATCTCGGTTGATGGTGAAGGAGAAAACAAAATTCACGCGATTGTGTTGAAGAAATCAGTGGAGCAGGTCATTTACTCTAATTTGGTTGAGCGTATATGCAGAAAGTTCATATTCAGATGACTTCACATCATAAATATTCTGAGTTTGATATATTCAGATACTAAGATATTTTTGATTAAATGTTGAGGAGCCAAAGAAGACTGCAAGTGGTTTGTGCGAGTTGCAAAGTTAAGGAATTCAGATCTTTGGACGGTTAGATGATACATCAAGCATCATACATGTTATGTTGTTTACAAGAACAATGTATGATATATGAGTACTACGTGTTATTCATACTACTTAGAACTACTTAAGGCTACTATGTGTTATTCAGACTACTTAGAATTACTTCAGACTACTACGTGTTATTTACTTAGAACTATTTGAACTACCATGTGTAATATGGACTAATGGTACTACTTTGAATTATTACTTGTAATATGCATGTTTCTAGAAAACTTATATTTTCGTCCTTTTTTTTTTATCAGATGTAACTTATATTAGTTGTATTTATATGTCTATATATGTATTTATTTATCAAACTAGACATAAAATTTTAAATTTCTTAAGTCCATAGAAAATTTTTCATTTCCATACAAAACATCCTTGTACATCTATGACTAATGTCTTTATGTTAAGGCCATAATGAGGTGAAAAACACAAACTACATTTTTTCTTAAATGTTTTTTCTACCAATTTTTTACATTCAATCTTAAACTGTCTAATTGAATTGGTTTTACTACAAAAGTTTTATTTTTGATGTGGTATTACTAATAAATATTAAAATTTTGCAAAAGTATTACTATGAACAACGTAGCACTACTACAACCTTGGATATTACTAAGTGTGAATATGTTGAGAATATTTTACACATGTTACACGTGTGTTACATATTTTAGATATTATTAATTTTTAATATATCCGCCCTGCTTTTTCTTCCTCTATGTATTTTCTACACTTTTCCTCCTTAGGTTCTTTTTCAGCATCCTTGATCTATGCTTTTTATTGAACCTTTTCCCCTTTAGCCTCTTCTTGAATATTTACCCTTTCATGGACACATCAATTCCTAACTGAAATTAGTGGCTAAGTTTGATCCAAGAACACAAAAAAACAAACTTAATTTATTCTATCGAGTTTGTCCAAATATACACCTTATCATATTTACCTTGGGCTAACATTATATATAAGACCTCGCTGATAAAGAGTGTGTGATCTTCACTATATTCTTCACCCTTGCTTATATACTCGGCGACAAAGAGTGAATTTGATAGCTTTCTTGTGATTTCCCAGATTTCAGAACACTACATACTCCGAGGGAAATTCCAACAAAAAAAATATCCTCGAAATATACTAATGCAATTCTGACGAAATTCTGAAGAAACGTAATTTTTATATTTCCTCGGAATTTCGTCAGAATATTTTGACGAAATTCCGAGGAAACAGAAATTTGTCGGTATAATCCGACGTTATTCCAAGGAAACAACCTTCTGTCAAAATATACCAACGACATTTCGAGAATTAATTATAGTCGTTATCGAGCCGTTGGGAAAGTTTGAAATTTCCAATGAAATTCCGATGGTATTTATAACCGTTGTATAGCCGTTGGGAAATTTTAAATATTACGAGGAAATTCCGATGAATATTATATTTCCGTCAGAATTTCGTCGGAATTGTCAGTAACATTTCATCTATAAACACAAGCACCCTTCATCCTCTTTCATTCACTCAATATTCTCATCCTCTCACTTACTATTTACACACGAATCTGGTTCATAAAAACATGTCTTCTTCAAATTAGTATCGTTTGTGGATGGATCGACCTCATTTGGATCCTGACACGAGATTACTTATGGAAGAATACCAACGACAACCAGAAGCAAAAATGTGTATGTTAAGATGTCTTTGCTCTACTTGTAGAAATAGAAAGGTTATAAAAGAGTGAGATGTTTGGACTCATCTATATTTGAACGGGTTTACACGAAGTTACAAAATTTGGTATCATCACGGGGAAACTGATTATGAATATGGTAGTACTAGCGAACCTCAGACATCAGATAGGTTAGAAGAACCAATTAGAACGGATGTAGTTTTTAGTGTAGGTACTGAGCAGATGATAAATGATCATTTTAGAGGGGAAGAATTAACCAATGCAGAAGTTAGGAGATTTTTTGATATGTTGGATGCAAGAAAACAACCTTTGTACCAAGGTTGCAGAGATGGTCATTCACCTTTATCATCTGCAACAAGACTGATGGGCATTAAAACTTATTATAATTTGGCTGAAGAATGTGTGGATGTGATTGCTGATTTTGTAAAAAGTTTTTTACGAGAGGATAATCTAGCCTCGGGTTCATATTACGAGGTTCAGAAACTCGTAGCTAGTCTTGGCATTTTCACCACTGGACTAGTGGCATTTTCAATAGAGTTAACACAATTAATTTTATTTGGTATTGATTGAATATGATATTTTTTTTAAAAAAAAGTTAAAAAGATCTTTAAAATTCCAAAAAATTGAAAAATAAAGAAATTTTTTATAAATTAATTTTGAAACTGAAATTAAAAAATCAAAAATCTTCCAAATTTTTCATTTTCTTTTAAATTCCAAAAAATTAAAAATTCAAAAAAATGCAAAAAAAAAATTAAAGTTACAATTATCCGCTAATATTTAAAATCACACTCAATTTTTAGAAATTTTTTTTTTTAAATAAAAAATTTGGAAGCTTTTTGATCTTTTAAAGAAAAAATATAATTTTTTAAATTTTAATTTCAAAATTTTTTATTTATTTTTAAGATTCTTTTGGAATTTTACAGATATTTTTGAGTATTTAGATAATTTTTTATATTCAATCAGTACCAAATAAAATTAAATGTGTTAGTAATTATATTGAAAGTGCCACTAGTACAGTAATAAAATATCTTGCCATATGATCCAACCAACATGAGTTCGAAACCAGAGATCTTCTTATTTTTAATTTCAAATCATGTAAAACGATGTCGTTTCACTTAATATCAACATTTAGCAATTTGTGCAAAGTTGTTGCTTTTTGGCCGAATTCCCATTGTTTGTTGCTCTTGTAATGGAAATAAATCATTTGCCGTTACTGCGTAAATAAATGTAGCCAAATTATTGACAAAATGTATAAAAAAAAGAATCAATTACAGTGAAATCTCTATAAATTAATAATGTTGGGACTACACCAAAACTAAAATTTTTATTAATTTACAGAAATTATTAATTTATCGAGATATTAATTGAACTAAAAATTTAATTTGGAACTATGAAATTATATTAATTTATAGAGATATTAATTTATAGATTATTAATTTAAAGAGGTTATATTGTACTTGACTCTTATAAATGTGTCGCTTGATTCCCTTTGCTGATTTGCCTTAGCATTACGCCATTAGGCCCATAATTACGTAGACAAGCCTCAACATCTAGCAGCGCTTATCTGGTCAGCGTGGGAAAAAAAATGTTGTTTCAACTATTTGCTGGGAACATTATTTCACGTCAATATCACTAATGAATAAAAACATTAATCTTTATATTTAACTTTCCCAACTAAAATATCATCCAGCAAAAAGAGTGCAATAAATTAAAATCTATCGGCTGGAAATTGACTGAGCAGTGTATAATCTGTGAAGTCGTCTCCTTCGGTATCTCCAAGCCACTTGTATTTGCGTAGCTGCTCGTAGCCTCCAATACGGAGACTCGTATCTTATGGCTCCTAGCACTCGATGGCTCCGTAGGAATCTCGAGAACAAGCTTGTTACGTCTTCAAGATCTGCTACACTCAGGGAAAACGCCTCCACGTTTGTCACACATCTAACACTTCTGTTGCTAACCAACCCCTTTAGCGGCAACTTTATGCACCTAGTCCCATCTTCAAGTTCCAAAAACATGTTTCAACTTTCTTAACGCAATAAATCGGAAGTTACAAACACATAGTAATATAGCCAAAGCTGTTAGTGAAAGGGAGGTACCATGGTTTACTGAAGAGCGTTCGAGGCACCAAATGAGAAGTTCTTCACCACAAACATCACCTTCTGATAAAGAAAAAACAGAACCGTCTTCTCCAATGCTCTCCATCTCACCTCTCACTATGAATACCATTTTCTCAACTAGACTTCGGTGGTGCAACACCGTGCTACTACTTATGTACGTCCTCTGTTTCAGCCTCTCACGTATTGAATCTAAGATTGATTCATCCATCAGCGAGAATATTCTCACCTGCAAACCCCCAAACAACACTTCAAAACCTTATGGTTGCGTATCATAAATGGTTAGTTTTGGATGTATTATGCTTATTACCTTCTTGAGAAATTTGAAGAGATGACGTTTTATATCTCTCCGGAGATCTTCAGGCATATTCTCAAAGAGCAACTCCTCGTTAACTCCTCTAGTCGCTGCCCAGTTGAACCGCTCTGCCTCTCGCACCCTCCTGCACCGTCCCATTACATAGCCTGAGAATTCAAATGTATGACTAAAAGACTATTCAAATGAGATGCAAAGTTGCACAGACTTTCTTATATCTTCTGGCAACAATCTATGGCTCATCCACTGCTCCACATCACGCCGTCTCAGCATCATTTCCATTCTCCTAAAACAGGACAAACACAAATCAAAATCTCATTTGATGGATTAGATATTTTTTTTCTTTTGAAACATGGAGTATGTTTACCTTCGATCAAGAGCTTGAAGGAAGTTGTGCATATTACCAATAAGCCGTGCAAAAAGTAAAAGCCCTAGTCCAATGATACCCATTGTAAAGAAAACCTCCCCCACTGAGTAACTTGGTGATAGGTTTCCAGCAAGCGTGCTTATTTGCTTTCATAGTTGCAAACACATTAGTTAAGAGTGATTTAAATCAATCAACCTAATAGAGGTTTAAGTTACCTGGAAGCCCCAAAACAGAGAGTAACTGAATCTTGTGAAGATACTAGGTTGAGTAGTAAGATTCACTGCCTTCACATAGATCCCATACGAAAAACCACTCTCTTGAAAACAAGCATTGACACTCGCATCGTTTCTCCAGAGAGCTCGTAGTGACGCCGATGCGTAGATGTTCCCACGAGCACAATCTATAAGATTCCTAAGTTCATCCACCGAGTTATTCCTAGCATGCAACAAGCACTTCTTTACTCTCTGGAAAAAGAGAGAGAAGAATCAGTAAAACTACTCGGAGTTGTGAAAACATAGGCTAGGCTGATACGGACACTCGCCACTAGTCTGTATCCATCTTGGTGGGTGCCAGGATACACCGGGTTATTCAAAACATACATAATAAAGTATTTCTTAAGAAACTGAGTTATATACCTCAAGCCCGGAAAAATACCAGCAAGATCCAACAGCATGACCAGCAAGCATGAAGGTTAGAAGATTAATAACAAAGTTAGCCCAAGCCGACTCAAATATGAACCCTGTAGGTGTTTGGCCAGCAAGAAGAGGAAGAAGCCTATATAACTTTGGAATGTACTGTATTAGAAACGTGCTGCGTATAATGTTTCTCTCAGATCCTGCCGTGGATGTGCCTAAGTGTGGTGGTAATATCGATAATATCATTATCTGAAAAACAAAGGTGAAACATACGGTAAGAAAAAGAATTTGACAATACTCAAAGAAACATTTCAAGGGTTGATATAGTACAAAACCTGTGGAATAGGTAACACTATGAACATGTCAAGTAAAAACTTGCCTCGCAAGTAATTGCAAGCAATTTTTCTTGGATGATCAACTAACTGGCCAGCACCAACTATTCTAGACTCAGGAGCTACATAGGCCATTCGAAACTGCGACAAATATAACAAGAATAATAATTAAATTAAATAAACTTCTTTACATAATGAGATGAGAGCAAAGGAGACACACACCTGAAGCAGAATGTTGATGAAGAATATAAGATCAAACATACTTCTAAGAGACACCAATACGTTAGTCTTGGTCCAATCAATCTCTATGCATTTGTTGTCCTGCAGTAGTCTCAAACTCATGAAAAACATATACAGTTCAAACAAGAGACTGATAGAGGAAGAGAAGGAAGCATTTACATGTCGGATTAATAAGAGGAAGACAAAGGTGGGATCTATAAAAATAGCCATCAAGCATGAAAAGGCTAAGAATCTAGTCCAGACTTGAACAAATTTGGAATGAGGATTCATGATTCCAGGTACGCATTTACTAACAGAGGAACAAAATCGCTTAGTCCAACTTCTAGCATCATCATACAGAGCAGTGTGGAACTAAACAAGAAAAAGACAAAGATCAGTAATGTGTCTAACATTTACTTGGGCGTCAAGCTAAGTAGAAGCATTATACATACATACCCTGGAGTTAGAAACTCTGGAAGTTTGAAATTCAGCAGGTTGGTGGTTGTAGTAAGAAGGAAAAGTGGTACAGTAAGGTTCATTACACATCCCTAGTTGTCTAGATTTCAAGAGATTTGCATTTGTCAAGACGGATTCATCTTCAGATGGAACATCAACGGTAGAGGAGTAATCCGGAGGTTCAGTAGTAGGAAGACCAGGTGGAGATGGTCTTCTCTGTGTTGGAATAGGGACTGTGAAGCCTAAAGCCACCTTTGAGTTGTCACATCTGTCAGTGGAATAAGTTGAATATGAGAGGGAAACGCTACGGTTCTTGAAATTGAAAGCCCTGGTGTGAGCAAGAGATGTTGCTTCTGGAATGGGAACTTGGTCGTTTTCGTTTAGGGAAGCCATTCTCCAAGATGAAGAACGAGAAGCTGAATACCCTAAAAGCCTAGGTTAAGCGTGAGAAAGAAGCTAAGAGAGGACAGAGACTGAGTTTTTGGGTTGAGCTCCATCAAGACTTTGGTGTTAGTTTTATAAAGACAAGGAAAACATGGAAGTTTCATCAAAAATAAAAAGAACGTAACATGTTGGATCTTTGTGTAAGGATACCCCATCAACGAAACTTCAAAGGGTTTCGTTGAATCTTTCGTTTAATATAAGTCAAGCAAAAAGGTTGGAAGAGGGAAAATCTCAAGAAGCTCCAACTTGTGTAAATTTTATTTTTGTTTTTATTTTATCAATTCACATAAATCACATCAATAACAGTAAAAAAAATTCTTTTTTTCAAAACAACACACTGAGGAAGATCCCAAACTAACATGTATTGAAAAATAAATTACATAAAGGATACATCATAATTTTACTTCCACTTCTCGATATTAACTCTTAAATTTTAATCACTAAACCTATATATATTGTATAATTTATCATTTTCATAGTTTTAAAATTATTAATTTATTAATTAATTATTTAGTTATAAATACGAGTTTTTTTTAAATAAGTGATATTTAGGAAATTTTATTTTTCTGTGTTGTTATTAGAATAAGAAGTAAGTTTATTTTTTGAGAAGACAATAACGATTAACGAATTTAAGAGTGAATAAACAAAGCCGCGTTTCTGAAGAAAATGAAATCAAAATCCTATTAAATTATTGAACCCTTCTTGGTCTGTACTTGAAAGTCATACCTTCACACCAAAAGCGACGTGAACTGGGACCAGACTTTGCTCCGACTGTTGCCAACAGTCCGCCATGTTTTTCAACATATTTTTAAGTTACACCTACTATTCTGACGTACCATAGTCGTTGAATCGTCAAGTCGTCAAGTGACGGATATTTTTTTATAATTGGATGCGCAAACTATAGTTCAATCCTCTCATAATTTATAAAGAGAAACATTCACTAAAATACTGAAATAGTTTCAGACAAAGGATTGTTCCTCTCTAAATCAAAATCAAAATTGGTTAGAATGTTTCCTATCATAAAGTGACACTGTGAGAATGGCCAGAAGCTAAGTATTGATGTAGTCCCTTGAGTACCGTTTCTGAGTGATAAACAAAGATAAGCAGGTTGTTCTTTGGGTCGTCTCTAGTATCAAAACAATTGTTAGTAAACTTGAATTATATCATGTGAATGATATGTACAAGGTAACACTTGTTATACTAATAACCTATAACATCACACTTTGCAACTCTTCTACCCAAGTAGAGAGACATATATAGCAACTGTCTTGCAGAGACAAAAGAATTACCCTTAAAAATGACAGACATTTCATATTACAAAATATTTACAAATTAATCTAATTAATGATTTATTTTGTATCTTTCTAGATTTGGTCTTGACGGATGTGTCGCAACGAGGTTGTTGTCCGAGTTGACGAACGCCAGACCCAGCTGACTTAGCTCAAATAGCTCCATAGCACATATATTATTGGTAAGGAGGACTAACATAAGCACAAAAACAATTGCAGTCTCCGAAGGAACCAAAGTCAAGCTAAAACCATTTTTTGCAATGTAAGCTTCAAAAATGTTTATCCATATAAGAACTATCAGAAACTGGATTTTACATCATCTTCCTAAAGGACTTGTAGACTCAAAAGACACAAAGATGTATTCATTTCTCTTTGTATGCAACATGATAACAATGAATATTGAAGAAAAAAAACGGATAAACCATACCTAACATACTAAAAGTCTACACTATTCATCATTGAACATAAACAACAGCGTTTACGCAAATCATAACTGTGGATCCACGTCATCGTGTTTGTTCAAGAACCGGAAACCCATAATGTATCTGTACTCTCCGGTGCCAAGACAGCGAGAGCATTCACATAACCCACTCCCTCCACAGCTCCTGCACCTGTGACCAAACACTCAAAAAGTCTTTCTCAACCAAACACCAAAGATACAAGAACATCTTCTTACCATTTGGGCCACTCTCCTCTTGGAAGCATCTCCATATCCACACAGTTAGTCCTCCCTTTGACACAAAACATCACAATGAGACACTTAAAGAGTTGAGAAAGAGTTTCAGTTCGTTACCTTTCCCGCTACAATTGAAACAGTCTACTCTTCCAGTTCCGTGGCAAATTACGCATCTTCCCTTCTCCTTTCTCCTCGTCTTAGCTCCACACTGTTAAATCTCAGAGCTCATAGGCTTATTCTCGTTTTCATATCAAACTCTGGAGATAGAAGTTTTCACCTGAGTTGTGACTATCCATGAAGGTTTGTTGAGATAAAGTCTCGATTTTTCCTGCGTCGGTTTCGAATTCGGAACTCCTTCCTCTCGCCGGACGGCCATCGCCGCCGGCAGAGACAGACACGCGCTCGCCGACATCTTTGTGTTCTTCAGCAGACACAACTGAAAAATCTATTTCCTTCTCTGTTCCTCTTTCATTAATCCAGTTTCCGATACCTCTTAGGCTTAAGGCCCATTACCTAATGGGCCTGTTTTAGACTTGGCTCTCAAGTCACCGACATTGAGAATGCAATCATACAAAGTATAAACCGAAAATTGCTTAAAACTGGCTGTTGGAGTCATCATTGTTGTCTGTTGCTTGTAATAGTGTATGGACCAATCAATTGATGTTACTTCTTTAACAGTTCAGAATCATAATAGTACCAATTGGTGAGTTGTATTGCTTTTTTTCTTTTGGTCCAATGTACTCAAGATGTCTCTCTTGCATAATGATTTAGTTACAAGCAACCAAAACTAGATACATAACTTAAAAATATATTTAAAGACCAAAAATATTAAAAACAGAACAACTTCCATTCACATCAGCCAACCTCTTGACCATATAGTTAAAACCTCCATCTTCTCATTCTTTCACTTCTTTTCCTGTTTAGTTCACATTTGGAGGTTTAGGATCATAACCAAAAATTTACAGAAGAAGAAAGGGTGAGTCAATAGGCTTACAGTCGAAAGTAGCCCAGCTTGATGGTGGTGCTATGGTGGTACTTCTATTCTGATACAATTCTCCGGAGAACATCTCATTCTTTTGATTTGGTTTCTTAACTTCCCTCCCCAATGGTAGAGGTAGAGCATATAGATTCTCCTTCATATCTACTGAACCCTGCATTGCAGAAACAGTTAATGAAAAATGATTCAAGATCCTTCCAAGAAAGCATTCTTGATTCTTAACGCAATTTCCAAGAACTATCTATATACCAATCCAGTGATCATAGCCAAAAGAAGGATCCAGAAAGGAAGTTTTCTAAGATGCTATACCGCACGAATTCTTGTTTCTGGAGGTGTTATTTGAAGAGCATGCTTAAGAAGGAGATCTTCATCAAGGGAAAGAGTTCTTGTTTTCTTTGGAGTTTCAGGCTTATATCCGCTCTCTACCAAGTGACTTACTTTGCAGCTTAGCTTGGTAGCTGTAGGAACCGGTTGTATCCCTCCCGGTGAAACCCACTTCCTCTCATTGTATCTAAAGAAACACAAACAAAAGCAAACCAAAAAAACACATTCAAGCTAAAGAATCAGCAAAGGCATCAACACTTTTTAGCATATAGGAAAGAATCAATTACTTGGCTCTTATAAATGCGTCGCTTGAACTTCTCTCAAAATGAGGAGGCAACTCTGATTCCCAGTATTGATTTGCCTTAGCATTACCAGTAGCTACACCGAGAACAAGAATGATCACTTGAATTGAAACTACTTAATGCGTATCATTATATTACTACAAAAGAAAAGAGGAGCTTACATTGCATGAAAGAAACCTGATCTGGAAGCCATGTATCCAGAGTTATAGACCTTACCTGTTTCCACACAAAAAAATCAAAATCACTAATTTGTATGATTCATGTTTCAACACAATGAATTAAAAGTAAAGAAACCTGAGAGATGTGGACACCGAGGCTGCGATGAATACCAGAGCATTGCATACATATGAATATCCCAAGGTTCACACTTGCCCATCTTGGTGCCCTGTAGATCCAACAAAACACACAAAAGCTCTTATCATTCAGTTTGAATAATGATGGGGAAAAAAAAGAAGAAAACATGCTTACTTTGATCTACAATCTGCACATTCTCTATTGTCTGGTTTCTTTAAAAGTGCTTCCAATATCTATAACACACACACATACACAAATACACAAATCTCTAAGGAAACCATATATGATAGGGGACAGTAAAGATCAATGGTGATCATAGAAAACATGGAAACCTTTGAATGTTTGGCGTTGAGCTCCTTGGAAACAGACGCCTTCCCATTCATTCTGATTAAAAAAAACAGAGATAACCACAGAGAAGAAAAGAACCAAATGGCAAAACTCAAAGGAAGATTGTAGCAGAGAGCCGAAGATGATGAATCTCAAGGAAGAACGGACTTCAAGGAGAGAAGAAGAAGGAGGAGAGTTTCTCGTACCCTTTTTATATCTTGAGACTACGACACCTCATCTCTCTATTTTTGTTTAAACAATTAATAAGCGGATGAGAAGACGTTAGAGAACACTAAAGGGTCAAAAAACATAGCCAAGAAACTAAAACGAATTTGATTTCTCTTCTCCCACGTCATCATCATCATCAATCTCAACCGTTTAACCACAACTTCTCCTCTCTTCTAACCTTAACGGGTCACTACAAAAACTCTGTTTCCACGTTCTCAACCCTCGCTAGTTTATCTCTTTACATGGTTCAAAACCAACTATCTGGAAAGAAAGAAAAAAAACCATTTTATACAAATACTACAATCATCATTACACTTCAACCACGCCTTTATTCATAACATATTAACCTTTTTTTCAAGACCCCAAACTTTGCAAAATCACATCAACTTTCGAATTAGTTGAAGCAGAGAGAAACTTCATACAAACAGGAGGACTAACACCAGCAATAGCCAACACCGAGCTCGGCAAAGACCAAATCCCATCTCCACATATCAAACCAGACGCCACAGCAGTTCCAAAAGCCTCAGCCTTCGCTGCATCAACTCTCTCCCAAATAAAAAGTATCAAACTCCCCACACACATGTCAATAGCAAAGTACGGCCCCAGGAAAAACGGTATAGCCATCGCCATAGGAAGAGGCACAAACCTGCCCAACTTACTCGGTAAACTATCTTTAACTATGTTCACAAGAATCGCCACGCTGAAGAACCCGTAACACAAGACTAGACACTCTCTTGGTAATGATGCAACGCCTTCAACTCCAAGCTTAGCCATGCTTCGGTACACGGTGGCAAACGGTGCAGGGTACTCGCTGTTCGGGATGCCTAGATCGTCGAACGCCTTGTAGAACAGCCAGAACACGCAAGGAGAAACTATACATCCCATCGCTGTACCGATCACTTGGGATACAAACATTGACTTGGGTGATGAGAGTGTGAGGTATCCTGTTTTGAAGTCTTGTGTGAGGTCTGAAGCTGTTGAGACTATGTTCATCATGACGCCACACGCTGCAAGACCAGCTAGCATCCCTCCGTGCTCGGACCCCGCCCATGCTCCTATTGTGAATATGGCTAGCTTTCCGTATGTTGAAGCTAAGGACCAGTCTGTTAGTCCTGCTCCGTAGGCGTTGCAGAAGGCTAGGATTGGCGCGGAGATGTAGATGACTAGGATGTAGTACCATCTGAGCTGGTGGAACATGTGTGGGAGTATTGCTGTTGATGTTGCGGAGATGAGGATGTAGCCACCAACGGCGAACCAAGTGGGGATTTGGTCTTTGAGGAAGAAGCGTGTACGGCGTTGGTCATCATAAGATTCTTTTGGTGTTTGTGGGGAAGCATGAGGGTTGTTGTCTTCTTCTTGGACTATGAAAGATCTTCTTGAAAAAGATGGAGTGTCTCGGAGCTGTACAAAGAGTCCTGAGAGTGTCCTGCTCAGGACTTTGCAGAAGTTGTATAAGCCATCTCCTAGGATTATAGCAACAGCTATGAACACCTGAAAGGTTACAACATTGTTACCATAAGAATAAGCTTTAAAGCAGGAGGATTCATTTAGTATTATACCTTGTAAGCTTGGAGACCATGCATGCTACTGGGTTCAACATCTGCTGGAAACCAATCTCCTTTTTTGGTTTCAATGAGAGGCCACATTATACCCCAAGAGAGGATACCTCCCAAGAGAACAGAGATGTTGATTATGTATGGGCATATCATGCCAACACCCACATATGTTGCTGAAAAATCAAAGTAGAACCTATTTGTACATCAGGCTCTCACCAGAAAAGGAACTCAACATTGGTCTTACTGTAAAAAACAAAAAGCAATAAGGGTGGGGAGTTGTTTTGTTGAGCTTACTTGTATTGATAAGCTTTGAGTCCAAAGGTAGGGAAGTTGGAGAACCCACAATTTTCTCCTCCGGTAAAGAACCATTGGAAGAAACTCCATAAGAAGCTAAAGGAGAAGAACTTCCCCAATACCCTCACTTGTTTCCTGATGCAGAGAAGCAGCATAGAGTTAAAAACAAGGAGAACTCAAGACTAATAAGCATTGAAGTGAAGTGAAAAGAGACAGTACTTAGCCAGCTTGGCTCCTTGAGGTGTGTGAAAGCTGTTGATTAGATGAGCAGTTGCTGTACCACTTGGATATGTTAGTTTGAAGTCTATCACCATTATCTGCAAACACATAGAAATTGGTAAATGCAACATCTCTTCAACTCATTTTGGTTCATACTTAACAAAATTAAGACTAACCTTCCTCAGGGGAACAACTGAGAAAAGACCAAGAAAGCTGACAACAAAGAGGAAACCAATAATCCAACCCAATGAAGGGTTCTTAACACCACGAGCAACATCTCCTGATTGCTTCGCAATTCGCTCACTCATACCAAATAGGTATGTCCCAAACCCTCCTGTATATCTCACAAAGCTATGTCAAGACTCAACCAAAAAACTGATTTATAACTTAAGCATCTGAATCAGTACGAAGATGAGTGTTCTCCTTACCACTGAAGGCAATGCCGGAAGAAGCAACAACACAAGTCTGAATAACAGTATTCTCCTGACGAGTAAACGGCTGTTTCAAGTATCCAGACCTATGAAGCATCTTTGTCCATGTCTTGACAAAGAAGAATCCCAGAAGACCAGCAGAGACATTGAGCGATGGTATGATACCCGTTGTGAGGTTAAGCTTCATAACAATGAAGCTAAACAAGATGCTTAACGCAAAACTCACCACAAAAGCTCTTAAAGTCAGCTGCTTTGTCCAAGAAGGTACTTCTCTGCTCTCAAAGATCTTCTCCACAGATTCTTCTTCCTCTTCCTCTTCATCATCTTCATGCTTGTCAGATTCTGGACTAAACCCAACTTCCTGCAACTCATGTTCCACAACTCTGTCTTGATTCAGATACCCTTTTCTCATCTCTATGTTTATCTCTCTCTGTTTCTTTAGATCTAGAGGTGGTGAGAAAGTAAAGGACAGTATTATTTGAGAACTAAAATCAAAGGATGAAAGTTGTCAACTTGGACTCTGTTTTCTAACATTCTGACAAATCAGATTGTTGCTTTGGTGTTTCTTTATTACTTAAGATTCTTTTGTCGGTATGTCTGTAAATAGCTAATTACCTGGAATTTAACTTGTTAATCGTTTTATAAAATCAACATCATTAAGTTATAAACAAGTTCTCTTAACTCAGCCAACCATATCCAACAAGCTTGGAAATTTGATAAATATCTTATAATATAAAGTCATAAAACAGTTTCTTGAGTGCTCTCTCCAGACCACAAACTGAATAAAAAGTCTATACCTTTTTTTATCAAAAGATAATATTAGTTGAAGATAAGGAAAAGAATATGAGAAAACCAATGGTGTCTTTATTTCCCTATTTATCAACTCAAAATGGCATAATATTACTGAATATAAAAATGAAAAAAAATAAAAAAGGACCAATCTATAAATTACACGACATTCTAATTTACACGTGAGGATTCCATTCCTTACAAATCTTTTTAAAGTTTTTAATTTTTTGAAGTAAACACTAAGAAACACAACGGTTCTTTAACCAGTGGAGGTGTGATTGTAAAAGTGAGAACATTGTATAGCTGGTCTTGTGAGCAGAGGGTGCAACTTCTATTGGACACGTGGACAAAAGTCTTGTCAAGTAGTTATATTGCAAGAAGAATGTTTTTTTGCTCTACCGTTGAGGTAAGCTCTTCACGTATTCTTCTGGCATGTCTCAAGTGAATCGATTGTTTTTCAAGAGCAGACTCTGCTCCGGTGAGGGAAGGAGGTAACTCTCCAGCGGTAGAGTTATGGCTCAGGTAAACAGTGGATCCCTGAGGTAATGAAATGGTGGTGGTGTTGGAGATTGACGTTAAGTTGTTTCGTAATAGGAACATTGATGAGAGAGTGTGGTACCAAAGAGTGAGTCAGGGGTGGGCCTGGTTAACTAATTCATGCTGAGGTCCAGGGGCGGAGGCAGAGAGAGAGAGACATGTGGCGAAAAACAATTTTAATATATATTTTTCAAAGACTATTGTTATATTTAGTGAAAATTTGGCATTTGATCCATCTAATTTATGTAAAAAAATTTCATGACCCCATTAATTTGTAAAAAACAAAATTTGTTATAATATATATATATATATATATATACTAGGTGATTTTCCCGTGCTCATGCACGGGTATAAATATTTATTAAGTAAATATACTATAATAATTGATTACTATTTACTTTTAATTTTCAATTAATTTATAATTTGCATACATGATTTATATTAATAATATTATTTTACTTTAATTAGACATATTATTTTAGAAATATTATATCTAGTCAATTTTATTATTTTATAG